GAATGTGATTATGGTTGACAATATAGATTTTTACACGCGGTATATCTGTTAATGCATGCATTAGTATGGCTAAAGATAAAATTGTCCTTAAAGTCCCTTAAAGCTAGAGAATATGGAGGGCGTTTTTGTAAACAACTATTTTTCTTAATAATTATGCAATGCATTATAATTTTTAATACACCACACCAAATAGTAAATAAGAAATAATATCTGCATTACTATCTCATGCATTACTAATCCCTGCATTACTAATACACCTTATTTCACACTATTCTTATACACCCTACCAAACGACTTGTGAAAGTATTAGGAGTAGTATTTAATGCATAATAGTACGTGAAGAATATCTAAATATAAAAATGCTCTTATGGTAGATAATCCCTACATAACAATGTACTTATTATTCACATTAATTATAATAATCCATGCACTATTATTAGACGCTTAACATTATATGTTCATTGCATAAACAATGATCTTCTTCATTTGAATTTTGAAGCACATCTATATGTAATTAAACGGTAAAACAATTACCTCTTCTGTTGTATGATATATTGCTGACTTCTTTCCATTTACTTTGTGAACCAAACCAACCACACAAAAGAAAAAGTGCATATTGTTATTTATGTGAGAGTACGAATCAAGATTAATTAAATGGCAGAAAAAATAGATATATACACCCGGTCAAAATTACATCATCACAAATTTTGAACATTTATTTCATCTGATGTAAGGCAAAATACATAAGTTAGTCACTTGAACTACGAACCAAATCCCTCTTACAGACTTTTGAGCGCGAAAATCATTTTACACATTCAACCTTTTTGAAGTGTGTCTAATACACACCATTTCTTTAATTACTCACCGTCCCGCTAGCACCAAGCCTCAGCCCTATTTCGAAGGAACCTTACCTTATACTTTTCCAACCCAGAAGTTGTTTCCCTTGTCTTCTTCCCCAAAATATGGGAACGTTTTCAATAATCTTACTTATTCTTTTGTTTATGAGCTTATATTTCTTTAAGGTGGTGGTTTTAGATTTTATTGATCGAAGAAGACGGCGGCGAATTAGTGGCCAGTGGTGGTGTAGCAACTTTTTGATGAAATTTTTGACAATTTACTGCAGATCTTGGGGGAATTTATTACAAAACCAACAATAATTTTGATGTCTTTTGATGCTCTTTAACTTGAGAAATATAGCTTGTAGCCTTAGCATCAATGATGTACTCCATTGCAGTCTTTGTCGTGTATCTGAAGATCTCTAATTCCTCTCACTTTCTTGAATTTTTCTATTTTGAATCTCGATATTTCTAGGAATAAAATGCACAAGATGCTAGGAGCTGACCACAATTATATAGAAATAAAAAAGTAATAGTTAGCTTTGGCTTTTGTGTGTTGGTTTGAATTGGAAGCTGGTGGTATGTTTTCTTTCTACTGGTCAGCGGCAATGGAGATTATTCGTCGGAGAAGAGAAACAGTTGAATGGGGGAACTTAGTTAAGGGATATAATTGTAATTTTAAGCATTTTATTTATATCTTATTTAAAATGACACGTGTCATAGCCTTATTGGTGCGTGATATTACACATATTTTAGAAAACTGGTCAAGAAAAAAGTGGTGTGTAATAGATACACTTAGAAAGGTTGAGCGTGTAAAATAATTTTCGCCGTCAAAAGTGTGTAACAGGGATTTGATATATAGTTCATGTGGCAACTTATGTATTTTGCCTATGATGTAATAAGGAAAGGTTCTAACCATGATGAAAGTTTTTGGTCATGAGGAACAATATCTGTGTAAATTATGATGTGGGGCTACCTTTTTATATATCAGGTTTTTCCGCAACAGATATCTAAGCATAATGTGATCTAAAAAATGTCCTATATATGGCAAGAAAAGGACCTGCACTTGAAATCATGAGCCCTTAATTCCTTGGCTAAGCAATCTCTTTTAGTGGAAAAGGACATTGCAAAAACAACTTGCACGTACAAATAAACTCATAGTTGCACACGCTAGAAATATTTATAAGTATGTCTTGACTTCATCAGTAGAATAAATAAAGCAACCCCTGCTACAACACTTAGCTCTCAACTTTTTCTTTCTCAAACATCTCTTTCTCTTTCAAAAAGAACCAGCTAACTCATGGAGAAAATGAAGTTCAAAGAAAACACACACATAGAAGTATGGGATTCAGCCTCAATATGGCCAGAAAGAGACTATAAGTGTAGCTTTTGCAAGAGAGAGTTCAGGTCTGCACAAGCTCTAGGTGGTCATATGAATGTTCATAGAAGGGATAGGGCAAAACTAAGACTCTTACACTACTCTCCTTCACCTTCATGTGATAATACTAATCCATCTCCGAAAAAACCTAACCATAATCCTAGCATTTCATCATCATCCTCTTCGTCGTCTCCTAGGTTTAATTTCACTGGGAGCTATCTAAAGGGAGAGATAGCTAAGAGTACTCTAAGTAAAACAGTTTCTCTTGGAGTGAAGCCACCAGCAGATTTTACAAAGAGAAACAATGAAAATAGGGTTTGGAAAAAGAGAGAGTTCGTTACATTGGACTTTAACATGGGGTTGCTCCAAACTCATGCAAAGGAGGATAATGTAGATATGGATTTGGATTTGGATTTGGAACTCCGCCTTGGTTACTCTTAGTATTAAATTTATCTGATTATCGACTTCTTCTATTTTTGTTCTTGGTTTTTCTTTCCATTAGATTATCTTAGCTTAGCTTTTTCTTCTCTTTAGCTTCTTGATGGATGTTTGTTTACCTTGGAATTGAAACCGCGGCCACGGGTCGGGACTGATGTAGTAGGATCGCAGCAATGTCATTTCTTTCCTTTAATTTGAACAGTTTCATTTTTGCAAAAATATTTGCAACCATCGATGGTATTAATTCCATCCATGCTAATTGATTTTTACGAAAATATACCAGTTCGTGAAAAGATGTTACTTTTGCAGGATCACTTAAGTAAACACTTATATAATCCAAATGAATGAATCAAGATACATGCATGTCTTTCACACATACATAGTTAATTTATATGTATAATTTTCATTTTACTGCTAACATTAAATTATTTGATTTAATGTAAGATTTATCACCTTAAACCCTATGCACTATTGACCACTCTAAATTTTAATTAATATATCTTCCAGCAGTTTTCTCTATTTTGCACTTTATAAGTACGAAAAAAGGAGTCTAAATTTTAAATTAGTTGGAACAAAGCACGAGCCGGGAAGCTTTCCTTGGAATTATTTTCTCATATATGTGTCTAAATATCACTTTAAAAACCTTCTTTCTTTTGTATTATTTGTTAAAACAGATACTAATACATGAGTTAACTTAGAGATAGAGAGTCAACAATGGGAACTAGAGAGAAAGGACAGACGTTGACCGCGGCTCAAGAATAGTTGAAGCCATAGCCCATAAAAAAAGGATTTTCAAGTGATATTGTAGTATGTATCGTAGCTAGGAATTTGTTATAACAGAATTGCTACAATTAGTTACCATTAAATCAATAATTAAAATATACGAATTTATATAGAATAATATCAAAATCCAATTAATTAAGTTCACCAACAACCCTGCATCATCGTTTCATATTCCAAGAACAAAAATTACAATGCCAAAGGACAGATTATCTTGTAGTATTAGGAATTTCAGATCAACAGTTTCTTGCCTTTAACTACACAACCACAGTCTAGCTACCTACCTTACACATCATGAATTCTTATTTCCCTTGAAGGTGAAATGGGAGTGCTTGTTTGTAAAATCAGTGTTTCCTAGGAAGGAAAGCAATCATGAAAATTTTAGTCATGATGAATTATACTAATAATGAAACTACTGCAACACGAAATTTTAAAGACGAAAAAGAAAAAAAGAAGTACGAAATTCAAATACTGACAGAGAGTATCTCTGTACCAAATAATTAAATAAAACAACTGAACATTAGATGATGACCGGGGTATATGTATAGGGTAAAATATGTTATGAAAAGTCATTGCGTGAAAGAATGACACGTAGAGCCGAAGGCAGATGATAGTTAAAATCGAAGACAGTTGTTTCATCTATTATCGGAAATAATGATACTCATAAATAGGGGTGTACAAAGGAAACCGACAAATCGCACCAACCCGATAATCCGAGTCAAACCGGAAAAAAAAACCCGACTATAGTTTGGTTTGATTTGGTTTGGTGTTGGAAAAAAAAACCCGACCATAATTGGTTTGGTTTGGCTTTAACTAAAGAAAGTCAAACCGAAACCAAACCAACCATACTCTCAGCTCACGTTAGCTAAACGTGCGCCGAGTGTGGCTGCCATGGCTAGAGGACGAGGAAGGGGAAGAGGAAGACCACGAAAACACCCAAAAACACCAATCTCAACCATTAGAAACGTTATTACTACTAAATCGACAGATGGAGAGGACATACAGAAAATGATACAACCAGTAGCTATGGAGCAAGGCGAGGTAGAAATTGCACCAATACCTAGCTCAGGGAGAAAGGAGAATCAGAATCTCAACTCGGAAGAACAAGGACAGAAGGAAATTGAACAGAGATCTGAAGTGGAAACCAATGGAACAGTAACGAAGGAGGAAAACTTAGTGATTCTAGACAAGGAAGCTCAGATAGTGCAGGATGAAGGGGCTAAGGAATCAAGGAGTAAACAGAACAAACATGCAGAGACAAAATCCATAGATCGAGGGCAGGAAGTGCGAAAGTGGTCAAATCTGTTCCAACAAAACAGAGTGGCTACTCATGGAATGACTCTGGCGTACATACCACCGCAGATCATCGATGGACAAACAGTGGTGAAACTTGAGGTGCAGGATGTGAAGGAAGAAGAAGAGAAGTGGAGTGCAGCTCTGCCTATATTGTGGGTGAAACCCCAGGATATAATGTTATGCGAAGGTATGTAGCTCAACATTGGCTGGATATTGCTGAACCAGACCTGTTCCTTCATGAGGATGATTATTACGTGATAAAATTTCAAAATATGGAGGATATGCACAAAATCCTTTATACTGGACCTCATTCTATTAGAAACAGGCCAATTATTCTCAAACCCTGGACTCCGGATTTTGACATAAGCAAGAAATTTCTAACCGATATACCTGTATGGGTGACTTTTCCCAAATTACCAATAAGTTGCTGGGGAAATGGAGCTTTGAGTAAGATTGCGAGTGCGATTGGTAAACCTTTGTTTGCGGATGAGTGTACAACTAAGCAAACAAGGATATCTTATGCAAGGATGTTGATTGAGGTGAATGTAACTAAAACCCTACCCATGGAAATCAAGGTAATGGATCCTAGAGGAAGAACATTTCAACAGACAATTGAATATAAGTGGAAACCAGTCTATTGCGATAAATGCCAAGTTATTGGGCACATATGTCAGAATCATCAAGGAGGTAGGGAACAAAGGGTGATGCAGCCACAAAGGAAAAGGGAGACAAAGAAGGTTACATATGAATGGAGAATAAATGGACCTATAGCACAAGAGGCCAGAACTGACAAGCAGGATAATGCAGAAGGGACATTAGAGGGAATAACATAGCCAATTAAAGAACCTCACAAAGCTACTATTGAGAAAATTGGATTACAACAGGAAGAAGTGCAGACTATACTACAGCAGGCAGATAGAGATAAGGGGAACAATAGCAAAGAGATGACAGACAGAAGGAAAAGTGTAATAAAGTTCAATCTGGAAAACTTCCCTATGCTGACTCCACACTCTAGCAGAAATAGCTCAGAAAGAGGGTCTCCAAGTACTAGTGGTACCAAAAACCTACCCCATGATAGAGGTGGGGAATACAGAAATTAATAAATGAAGTGGTTGATTTGGAATGTGAGGGGTATTAATAAATGGTACAAGAGGAAGGAGATGAGAAAGTACCTAAAAAACAAAAATATCCAACTGGCAGGGCTCATAGAAACCAGAGTAAAAGAGAAAAATGAAAAAANCAATTATTCACAGGATGGGTCATGGAATGTGTGCAGACAGTTAACTATTCTATAGTAGTTAATGGTGAACCTACAAGACCTTTCAATGCTGCAAAAGGGCTAAGGCAAGGTGACCCTATGTCACTTTTCTGTTTGCTATTGCCATGGAGTATTTAAGCAGGAACTTAGCTAGCTTGAAAGAGGAAAAAGACTTCAAATTCCACCCTAGGTGTGCTAAACTAGGGATAACTCACTTGAGCTTTGCAGATGACCTCCTCTTGTTTACTAGAGGTGACTTGAAATCTGTCCAAACTATGCAGAAGAAGTTTACTCAATTCACTGAAGCATCTGGGCTGCAAGAAAACCTAAGCAAAAGTGAAGCATACTTTGGAGGAGTTCAGGAAACAGAAAGGCAGCAAATTCTACAGTGCTTAGGGTTCACAAGTGGAGAACTTCCATTTAAGTATTTAGGAATTCCTCTAGCTACAAAGAAGCTGAGTCTAATGCAATGGCAGCCACTGATTGAGAAAATGACTAGGAAAATTACCTCTTGGACAGCAAAAAACATTTCTTATGCAGGTAGATTGCAGCTGGTGCAGAGTGTCCTATTTGGGGTGCAGGCATTTTGGGCACAGATATTTATCCTTCCAGCAAAGGTGACTAAACTAGTAGAAGGACTATGCAGATCATATGTGTGGTCTGGGGCAAATGAGATCACAAAAAGGGCTTTGGTAGCATGGGATAAGGTATGCTTGTCAAAGGCAGGTGGTGGACTCAACTTAATCAACTTAAAGCTATGGAACATAGCAGCTATTGCAAAGACAAGCTGGGATCTAGCTCACAAGCAGGACAAGCTATGGATCAAATGGTTACATGCTTATTATATCAAGACACAGCAACTCAAGACAATGGCAATTCCTCAACAAGCATGCTGGATGGTAAGGAAAGTGATTGAATCATATAGTATAATTGAAGAGATGCAATTTTCACAGGATTGGAAGAAGAGTATGATCAAACAAATATACCTGCACCTACTGGGAGACTACAGCAGAATGGAATGGAAGGCACTAGTGTTTCAGAATGCAGCAAGGCCAAAAGCACAATTCATCATGTGGCTGTTGATTCAAGACAGATTAATGACTTGTGACAGGCTAATTAACTGGAAGATCAATGTAGAACCTGAGTGTGTGATGTGTAAACAAGAAAATGAAACTAGAGATCATCTATTCTGGCAGTGTCCTTATGCAACTCAAGTGTGGAACAAGATGTGCAGATGGCTTGGAAAGCAGCATCTGGGAAATGGCAACTGGCAACAGTTTCTTCAATGGACCATAAGGCAAGCAAAAGGAAAATCCAGTTATGCAATGACATTCAGAATGATATTTGCAGAAACTGTGTACCATTTATGGCTTGAAAGAAACAGAAGAGTATTTGAGAAGAAGAGCAGAAAAGAGGAGCAACTTACAAGAGATAGCATATGTAGTTAGTGCTAGAGCTACTCCTAGAATCAGACAATATGTATACAGTTTATGTTTCTAGGAAGGAAGATAGTATAGGAAGTAATCAAAAAGACCAGCAAGTTGTGTTAGCTATGCTTTGCTTTGTAAATACTTTTGGTGATTAATATAAAAGAATTTAATTACCAAAAAAAAAAAAAGAAACCAAACCAACCCGACATTACATATATAGAAATTTTAGATATATTTAATATATAAATATATTTTTTGTGATGTAATTTATAGATATTTCTTAAAAAATTTTATAATTTTATCTTTTAAGTTATTATTTCAAGGTTGGACTTAGAACTTTTGAATGTTCCAATACATTTTATATCCATTAATATTATTAAATTAAATAATTCTAACAAAAGCCCAAACCAAAATCAAACCCATACTATGCTAAGAAAAGACATTCAATTCAGTACTACGAAAGGGAGTGTATTGAATATCTATTTTTTATTTTGCAATAATTTAGATAAAAATGCATAACCTGTTTTTATTTTTTCTTTAGCGTTTAGTCATGTAATTAATAATCTCTTATTAGTTTACTTATTTTAGCATGACTTAGTACTTTTAGATTATGTTTATTTTTATTATGGCTTTTTGATTAGCAATATTTATATTACATAATTTTATTGTCTTTATTGTTGAATATTTTAGGATAATGCCATGACACATCTCATATTTTGTATTATTTTCTTGGAACATACTTTATATAGTTGTATCTTACTAGGATTAAAGAAATACTTTGAGCACAAGTTATATGTTTGGTTCTACGAAGATTGTATCAGAAAAAACCCCGAAAAAATCCGAATAACCCGAAAACCCGAGAAAAATCGAGATTGAAAAACTCGAATTTTATTGGTTTGGTTTGGTCTTTGAAATTAATAACCCGACACAATTGGTTTGGTTTCGTTTGGTAATTGTAAAATCCGAACCAACCCGACCTATGTACACCCCTACTCATAAATATGCAATGAGTACCTACCACCTAATAGCATTTAATAGAGAATATTCCACAGCATTTATTACACTGCCCGTTAAAAAGAATTTGTCATTCAAGGCCGTCGTTACACATTCTTCAATGACCCTCATAATTAACATTAAAGAGGGGCATGATCCTAAGACCTTATTCCCTAGGTGCAGCTATAAATAATGAGCTCTACTATCATTGTAGAGGAGACGAATTTTCTGGCAAACTTATGCCATAATCTATTCAAAGCTTTATACAATTTTATCTTTTTGCTCTTTGATTCCATTACTGTTGTACTCGGAAGTCTTGCTCCCGGAACTACTGTTTATGCTATTTCATCTTCACCTCAATGCTAAGTATTGCGTATTTGTTCAATTCTTTTATTATTTCAGGATGGTAAACAGTTTGGCGCCCTCGTGAGGCCTAGACAGTCGTATAATTAAGTTGCTCCTTGCCTCTTTTACTAACATGTTTTGATTATTTGTCCTTAGCAAAAAATCAAAGAAAATGGAAAATAATGGTGTTAACAACATACACAATCTTGAGGCCCAAAGAGACCAGCCTCAACGCAAGGATTCAATCAGCGATACCCGCAACGACAGGAGTGATGCCACACCGATCCACGGCAGACGGTACATGCGTGATGTTCAGGAGGTAACACCTAATGATGCTGAAGAGGAGCATGTTATTGAAGCGGTAAGGGTCCTGTAGGAGCAACAAGAGGACATTCTAGGTCATCTCACATGGCAGGATAAAGTTATGACAGAACTAAAGCAGGCATTCTCGGGTGCTTCCAACAATGCGAATGGACGAGGTCCAGTTACTCCCGGAGCTCCCACAAATCAAACAACGCAGAGGATCGACAACAACACCCTAAAGGGCAAGGTCGGGTCCGATGGGGCCGGGGGGAGCGGGTCCAGTCGCAACGACGGGAGCGATCCCTTCAAAAGCGAACTCTTATGGTTTATGAGGGAAGTAAACGCCCGCATGGAGCAAATCACGGGTGCACTACCGATGCTGAAAAGGCTATACTCAAAGAAGTACACTCAGTTGCCGTACAAACCAAGCGCGACACTAGAATTGATCCCGAACCAGTTTCAGATGCCTAATGTGCCAAAATATGATGGGACTTCGGACCCTCGGGAGCATATTGTCACATATACAACGGCGGTGAAGGGGAACGATTTAGGTTCCCACGAGATTGAATCTATTTAGCTAAAGAAATTCAGAGAGACTCCCACGATGGGAGCCTTGACGTGGTATTCGCTGTTGCTCGAGCATTCCATAGATTTCTTTGAGATGCTCGCGGATTCATTTATTAAGGCTCATGTCGGGCCTAGAAAAGGTGCAGGCCCGGAAGACCGACATATTCAGAATTATACCAGGAGAGTCCAAGTTGCTGCGGGAATTTGTTACCCGGTTCCAAAAGGAAAGAATGTTACTCCCAGCTGTTCCAAATGAATGGGGGGCTGAAGCATTCACCAAGGGTCTGAATCCGAGAAGTTCTTATGCTTCCCGAAAATTGAAGGAAAGCTTGCTTGAGTTGCCCGAATCCAATTTCGTCTCTCTTGGAAACGAAATTCTTGTTCACGAACTAAATACCTTCTTCTTTGCTTTTAGCGTGTTTCTATCTTTGTAGGGAGGATTTCTCAGAGTATCTTTTTCTGAATAAGGGGAGCATTGATTATATAGAGAAGGGAAGTTATCAGAGAAAAAAAAAACTACCGAGAAGTTGACCCACGTTGATCCCCACGCTCCCACTTACTTCTCAACGTGCGGCAGTTTTATTTTAGGAGTTAAACCTTCCTTAGGTAACTTCCTTTAATCATATCTCCTTTAAAAACAGATCGGGTCAGTCTATATGGGCGACCCGCGACCCAAACCCAATATTCAACAAAAACTAATCCTAAAAGGAGTCTATTTTCTACCCTTAAAAGACTCTTTCACTCGCTCTTTCTTTGCAAGGATTTTCATAATTGATGCATCATTGTTGATCACAAATTTTTTCAGCTAATATATTTATTGTAGCCCATGAATAAAATCCTTCCGACAATCAAATCAACTTGCACTAGGAAAGAGCCTTCAACTTTTGATCAATAAATTTCAAAAGACCTTATTTTTTTACAACTGTTTGTTAATCATCAAAACTAATACAAGCTGGCTCAACAATAAAGTTGTTAGTAGTTAGATGAGTTGATTATAGAAAGAGCTAAATCCATTTTTGGTATAAAGCTATCAATGTGAGGGCGTTACAGATTTATCCTCTTACGGATGGAAGCTTCGATAGTAATGTGCAAGGTAATTTTCCTCATATGCTTCTAAATAAACAAAAATAGACATCACAATTCTTGTTCTACTCTATCTTTTCTAATTTACCTAGCACCTTAATTAATTCTATTTAGTTCATAACTTTACATAAAACTTTTCTCTGCTTTTCATCTAGTTGTATTTGGCCTGGAGAATACCTTTTGAAAAGCATATACACGAATTTTGGTATAGTATGGAGTTCATTTAAGTTTCCTTTTATGTGATGGATATCCATGTGTAGGGCGAACGTTATATATATGCCTAGGGCTGCAAAAAAGTTGCTTTGACTGAGTAATAATTCAGTCGAGCACAAGTGGTAGAAATGAGTGAATGAAGAGAAAGGGACTTGCATTTACACTATTTTGTGCGTACTAAACTGCAGTTCTCTCTCTATCTCTCTTAGAAAAAATAGTGCAGTTGGTCTTCTGCATTATTGCGTGAATTTTGTAAAGAACATATACTCAGTCCATAATTGTGGGGTGACGTTTGCGCACCTGAATTTCCTCCCTTTATCCCATGACAGTACAGCTCACAGCCTTACAATTCTTTTTCTCTTCTTTTGCTAAAACATAACATTGTTGCAGCTTCCCTTCAGACCCACAAATGTTTCTTCTTTTGTCTTTCACTAATTTCCACCTGCGCCCGCTGTCCTTCTTAGCATTTTTCTGTGTGTGTGTGTGTGAATGGGTGCTAAGGAATTGAAGAGGGCATATTATGTATATGCATGATACCACTGACAACTTTAAGCAAAGACATTTTAAACTTGTTGGGAACATGCAGTCATGAAAGAGATGCATTTGTTTGTTGGGAAATGGTACAATTATCTGCTAGCAGAAAAGAGGAGATAACACCAAAATACCATCTCGAGTCATTTTCGAGCAGGCAGGATTTATTTTTGGGTTTTCATCAGGTCTTTGGTACGCGTACTAGGGTCCATTAAATTCGAAGTCCTACATTACAAATAAAGTGCAGCGACTCCATTCCAAAACTTTTAGTTAAGGATGAAAGAGTATTACTTATCACTCAACCATAATCTTTGTTGCTGTGACGCAGGATTTTAGCATGTAGTAGAATAATATTCTCTATATGTACAGTTTACCCGTAAAATGGTACATTTGAATTTATACGTGGTTTCTAGACAAGGTAATTAATTCGATCATAAAATAGTAAAAGAATTGAACAAATATGCAATACTTAGCCTGAGGTGAAGATGAAATAGCAGAAGCAGTAGTTCCGGGAGCAGGGCTTCCGGGCACAATAGTAATGGAATCAAAGAGCAAAAAGATAAAATTGTATAAAGCTTTGAATAGATTATGGCGTAAGTTTGCCAGAAAATTCGCCTCCCCTACAATGATAGTAGAGCTCACTATTTATAGCTGCACCTAGGGAACAAGGTACTAGGATCATGCCCCTCTTTAATATCAATTATGAGGGTCATTGAAGAATGTGTAACGGCGGGCATGAATGACAAATTCTTTATAACGGGCAGTGTACTAAATGCTGTAGAATATTCTCCATTAAATGCTACCGGGTGGTAGGCACTTATTGCATCTTTATGAGTACCATTCTTTTCGGTAACAAATGAAACAATTGTCTTCGATTTTAGCTATCATCTGCCTTCGGCTCCACGTGTCATTATTTCACGCAATGATTTATCATAACATAGTTTTCCCCGTACAGATAGTCCCACTGCTTTCCGGTGACATAA